CACACACACATATACAGATGTGTGTGTGTGTGTATATATATATATATTCCAACAAGAAAACCATTTATAAGCTATCTGACATGAACTATTTCCCACCATCTTTATCTTCTCCTAGTTATATTTATGCCTCAAGGTCTTTGTTTATTGCAATGCACAATCCTGTTGTGTTAGGTGCACTCAAATTTTTGTGCAATCATTACTTATGGAAAGTGTTTTTCTCTTATCTGTCTTACTTAAAAACGCAAGATGAAATGGTGAATTCGAGCATGTAGAGTTGAGAGTCTTGAGGTCCAATAACTGTCAACTGGAAAGTATGCTGTCTGTTGCGGAGAAATCCCCATATTGGTGACAATGACACTGCATTGGAAAGGGAAAGAGTGCCTTCCTGCCTTCACGGTTCTTGCCCTTTTCCTATCTCACCAAAAACAAGTCTCAGGTCATGTGCACACTTAGAAAGCAAATCCATGTTTGTACAGAAAATAAAAAGGCCCTGGAAGACAAGTGTAATGCATTGAGGTCTGTGAAAGCAACCAAAGAAGCAAAAGTCAAGCAGCTGAAGGACAAAGCAGGCATCCTTGAAGAATTCTATGAAGAAAGAAAAGTGGCTATAGAAGACTAAAATGTTCATGTGAGAACTATCACAAGTACTGTTGTATGAATGAATGTGACGGCCAGTAGAGATAATTAAAATTCTTTGCGAATTTTTTGCCAAATGCACTCAGAATTGTGCCTGTCCTTCTTACCTTGCTTTCTGTCACCCGCATTTTCCTTTCTGTCCTAAGTGCTTGTCACACATTGTGTCATGCATTTGGGGTGGAAGAGGGAAGGTATCATCATTAATAACATTGATGTCTGGATCTGCTTGGGATCCATTTCCATTGGCGCATGGGTTTCAGTCCCATCACGTTGCCTTGTCATCCAGGAATTAGGTCATTTTTGTTCAGGACCCCACATGGGTCAAGAATGTGTAGGGAAAAAAATCAATGATCTTGCTGCAGAAACCACAGAAATTTATTTCTGGAAAGTGGGTAGGGGCGCCAGTAGTACTGGATCCCTGCATGAGTTCTGCTAGTGAGATTGTTCACAGCAGGCCAATCCCTAAGGAAGCTGAGTTATTTCCTGTCCCCCGATTTTTCAAGTGTAACTCCTCTGAGTCTTGACCAAAGCCCGCAGCTTCAGTAGGACTCATCTTTGCTGGCCGCCTCTGAACTAAACACGTTTCCTTCTAAGTCTGTGCCCATAAAGTTGTTCACCTATTTTGCAGTTCAGCTGTCTGTCCCCAAGTTCATTCATGAGTCCTGGGGAGATTGGTTCCCACTGCCAGGCTGGCTTTGTCCTGGGCTCCCTTCTTCTCCATCTTGGTCACATGTGTCTTCATGGGGTCATTAGAAATTTGGTGCATTCGCTCACATGTTTCCTCCTTTGTACAGTATGTCCTTTTGTTCTCACGAGGAGATCAGGGCCTTTAGAGTCCCTCATTCACATTGAAAAGGAAATACTTCCTTCTCTTCCCTGGAGACTCAGCTTCTGTTAGTCCTTCCCACACCTGGGGTGCAGCCTGCTCTGACTCACTGGCATCTTGTTTTTATCATTTCTAAGCTCTTTTGGGGAGCACGTACAGCACCCTGGCCACCTTTCTATTTTCAGTCCCTTACAACAGAACCACTACATTCCAGCCACTCCAGAAAGCATTTGTTGAAGGACTGCCTGAGATGCCGGAAGGAAATGCATGTGCCTTTCTCTGTCTAGAGGTTTGGTGTCAGTTTCTAAGAGTCTTTCAATTTTGCATGTGACTCTTGAATACGTCCAGTACCAAGTTGAAACCCTTTAAAGCAACACCATGAACAAAATAGTCTGAGGGCAACACAGCAAACCAGCCTTTCTAAGCATTTCCCTTTGCTGCCTTCACTGTCAATGAACTGAGTCTTGTTCAAGTACATTGGCTCCATGAAGTTGATAGTTTTCCATCTGAAATCTGTTTCCTGGAGATAAACCCAGACTGTGTGACAGTTCATATCAGGTTCTACCTCAGGTGATGTTGCTGCTCTAAGATTGGCCTTTTCCTCCACCAGGATATGTGAAGGTGGATGCAGGGGTTGTACTCCTGACTCTAGCGATGTCTGGGAGTGAGCTGCAATGTTGGGGAAGCCATATCCTGGAAGGTCGTCTTTCAGGGTGATTGTCTTTGTCAGGGTACAACTTCTGGATTGAGAATCAGGGCTCCCCACGGAGGGGTGAGACTAGTGATGATCCCTTGCTTCATCCTAATGGGTATGGGTGGTCAGACACGGCTTTTGACACTGAACTGAAATAAGCCTTCACCATCTCAAACCAAAGTCCAGCTCTGGGAAGGCACAAAGTGCAATGTTATTTGATGACTTTATGATGAAGGAGAGGAAACAGGTCTGAGAGCAGAGACATGGCAGTAGACAGAGGTTGAATTTTCTTTAACTTAAATGGGGTGTTCAGTTCATTTCTCTGACTGTGTTGTCAGTCTGTGCATTTATGGGAGAGGTGGGGAAAGGCATTTGTATCTAGGCCTTCAAGAGTGCTGGGAGGTAAAAAGGCAGAATTTGTGGACCTTGGCTCCTGGACCGTGTATATGTCTTTCCCATCTTAGGAAGCTGAAAATGACACAGTGTGAACTGGCGGCAAAGAAGAATCAGCTGGCAGCTGCAGGGGAAATGTGAAAATAGCCATGAAAGAAATAAACAAGCACAAGTGAGTTCAGCTACTAATTACCAGCAGCTCATGAAACCTCTCTTCATTTCTTTTGTTTTTAATCTTATTACAAGGTTAAAAGTCTATGTTTAAACTCAACATAGTAATGTAAACAAAAATTCAGAGGACATATGCATAGAGTATTAACAGATAAAAAGGTAAGATTTAGAAAGAACAAAACAATTAACTTCATCAACATTTCCAGATTTCAAGCAGTGGCCAGAGTGTGTGGAAACTTCATCCATGCCAACGTTCCTGGGGGTGGTGTCAAGTATCATAATCTGTAGGAAAGCAGTGTGTCTTAGAATGAATCATACCATCAACATGGTAGTGCCATTTCATGGCCCTGGTCTTTGCAACCCTAGGAAACATGGTGAAGATCTAAGTGAAAGGACGAAAGAGCTTTATGATGAAAGACACTTGTCACATGATGAATTAGGGCACAATTGAAAGTGGGAAGGAATTATGTGAACTCTGAACCCTACGGTTATGGAATGAGTTAGGAAAGGATGGAACAATAGTTTTGATCCTATTGTACATTTACAATCATGTGAAAAGTGTTTCATGTGTAAAATTGTATTAGGGGACACATAGGAGGATGACGAGAACATGGGCAGATTGAAAATCATACCCAATATTGGGCCTTATCTGACAAAAGCAACTATAACCGACAGGCAACAAAATGGACAAAGACAAGAACAGCTGCAGCAGGCAGAGCTCACCTTCAGACACCAGGTAACATGAGTTCTGCCTGACATATGGAACCCTTAGTACCTCATGTGGGTGAATGTAGTGGTCCTTGGAATTCCTAAATATGGACTTTTCATTGTTGCTTTTTCAGATCGCAGTTCATGAGAAGAATGCTCAGGACAACTGGGTAAGTGTTTCCTTTTTTCCTCCTCTCCCTCTTTGGTGCACAGTGTGGCACGACTGAAGGTGGACGTGTTTTTCTCCCCCAGATCAAGCCTCGGATCTGGGAGAGGGAAATGGCAGAGCAGAGCCAGGAGGTCGCCCGCTTGAAACACAGGTGTGGGAGCATGACATGAGTTTTTATGGGTGTCTTGAGGGATGACAGCTGTGCTGTTTAGTGTCTAGTCAGAGGACGTGGCATTGCAACTCTTATAGAAGTCCATTCTTTTTCTGTATCCAAGACTGGATGGGATGGAAGGAAAGAGGCTGCTTGATGGACACAGGAGGCGGAGACCAATGCCTGGAAGTCCAGAGAAACAGAACCCTCCGAGGAGAGGTAAGGAGCATGTGGGGATGTGCAGCAGCCTAATTTCTGCGGCAAAGCCTTTTCCTGTGGGTGATCATCGTGTGTCCTGGACAGAACCACAATTACTACCTAAGGATAGCAGGTGGTCTGAAGGGGTGACAGGAGGGCGTTCTCCTCTGGTGCCCCAGGCAGCGGACCACCTGTCCCTGTGACTGGCGGAGCTCAGGCCCCTCCCCTGACTGCGGACCCTCCCACCTCCTCCAGCATCCCCTAGCTAAAGAGAGGATCCTGGAGGGGATGACGGGACATGGGCCTTAGCTTTCTTCCCACGTTGACACAATGTGAAGACTTTATTTTAGTTTTATTTCAGGAGTTCATTTCGTTACTATTTTTAATGTTGTCATTTTATTTTTTTCTTGAACCATAGCCCTACTTTCTTAATTCAGGCTCCCTATAGCTTCGTCCTCTGATGTTATCAGGCAAGTCTGCGGCTTCACTGCTAAATACCCATCGCTTTCCTTTTCTCGTTTGTATATGAGTGTAAGTACATTTCTAA